AGTAGTAAGGCCAGGAGCCCCTAGTAGCGTCCTTGCTCCTAGTAGCGGTGCCTTTGCTACTAGTAGGGTTCTTTTTTCTTAAGTAGGGGTAGGCCGAGTAGAAGTTGCTACGTAGCTAGTAGAAGCTAGGTAGTAGCTTACTTTAGCTACTCGTATGGACGCAGGATAGCTCACGCTTCCTTGAAGAAGCACTTGCACTATTTATTTGGTTCCTAGATTTTAAGGGGAACTTAACAGCCTAGACTGGAGGGTTGGACACTCCCTTCAGACTCTCCACCTGTGCGAGGCTTGTTTTCTGCACAGCCTCTCCGGGTTCAGCTGAGTTGGTTCTATGTTATGACTTGCAAGTAGAGGCATGTTTTTCACACAAAAACCTTCGTGAGCCCTTCCGGGTTATCTACCCACGGTCCAAGGCTATGCTCTTGGTGCATTTTGCTTCGGCAATGCTTCCCTCAGCGGCTGCTTGGTGATGAGACAATGTTCGATGATGTTATTGTATAACACAAGTCATTATGAGGTATACTTACCTGAACTAGCATTTGCTCTATTTGGAGTTACTTGTCCTTGTCATAAATGTGAACTTTTGTGCACTTGAAAAGGACTTTGAAACCAAGAGACCTAAGATGTGATCTCATTCTCCAGGATGCGGATCTACACCTCTCATATCCTCTCATGTATTCTTTTTCCAATCCTCCAATTAAGTTTTCCAAAAACATCAGGAACAAACTCATTAGTGCGTGAGCTATCCTGCGTCCATACTAGTAGCTTAAGTAAGGTACGAGCTACCTCTCCCCCTTAATGAAGTAGGGACGGGGGCGAGCGGGCTTGAAGAAAACCCGCTAACCACGCCTTAGGTTTGTGCCGAGCCTTGGGCTTAGCTTGTGGTGGCTCCTGGGCCTTGAGTCAGAAGATCTCCGCGGAGCTCCTCACGCAGTTCCTCTTCTACTTGGACATGGTCCTACGAGGCGAAGAAAGGGAGTGAAGGAGGAACAGTCACAGGGTCCCAATCAGGTGACCCTGAGGTGGGTCTTGGGGAATGGTTGCTTGATTGAATTATGTTTGTACATTTTAGAACCCTCATGCGCTTTTATTTCGGAGGACGATGTGTGGAGGGTGGACTCTCAGGACATGCAATTTTGGAAGACGATTTCAAATGATAGTAGCTACTTGCTCCTAGTAGTACGGCCAGGAGCCCCTAGTAGCGTCCTTGCTCCTAGTAGCGATGCCAGGAGCCTCTAGTAGCTTCTTGTCAGAATCTGGTGGTGAACTAGGTTCTTCTGGGCCGCACAAACAAAGACGTTTATGGACATGTAGCTGGAGGTCAACAACTCGGGCGCAACTCTGCCCATGTCATGTTGGGTGCCTTGTTCTCCTGCTTTTCACGGTCAAGACACGACACTTGGGACTTGACTGATCTTGACTGAAGGGAGGCAATACTGGGACTCAAAAACATGATGAAATCAATTGGCCGGGTAGGTTTGGGTTCTGATTTCTACCGAATGCATTGGTACTGAAGAAGTCGACCTACGGGTAGGTTTGATGTGTCGAGCATCCGGGCCACAAGCCAATTCCAAGCCACCAGGTTTCCGTACCAGGTTTCCGTATGAACAGACGCAATAGACGTATTTAAACCTTGGCCTCCATCCTAGAAGCGATGGCCTCCAACCTACTAGAGATGGCCTCCTTGCCCCCTTTAGAGGACCTGAAAGGCGAAGGCAACCGGCAACGGTAGACCAGCTGAACCCACCATTTGTTTCGTGGCGAAGTTCAATCCATTGGCAGGCGCCATGGACCTCGGAGAGGAGAGAGGGAGTTTTACGATGTTTTTACGTGTGATTAAAGTGCCTGGGGCAACTTTCCACCGAGCCATTTTTTGGCGGAAGCTTCTTTCTTTGATCAAATCCACATGTTCACCACTGTTGACAATTGGGAGGCTTACATATATATATATATATATTTATCTATTATGATGGAGGGACCTTCAGGTTTAGAGGTGATTGCCGCCGTGGATGAACAGCTTCGTGCGGGGGTGCGGGGGTTGATTTTACTACGCTGGAAAAGTCCGACGTTCCGTGGCGGATGGACAATCTTGGGAGGCTCATGCAGCAGTGACTTGGGTTTTGAGCCACAGTCTGTTTCTCTTTTTCTTTGCTGGAGAAGACAGAGCCTTTCCAATTGGTTCCCTAACTTCATTTTTGCCTGTGGTTGAACTTGTCAGATGGCTTTGGTTCAAGACTAAGGGTAGCTCCCCAGCTAGCCCAAGCCCCAAGCTCACTTGCACAAATCACCATGACATACAATGACCCAACCCTTATGGCTTTTCTGCAGGTTTCCCTCTTCCTTCAGGCCAGGATGTCGTTCTTGTGTCCTGTGTCGCGTCTGACCAGGACTGGCCGGCGACCATGGAAGCTGTTGGCGCAGGGTCCACTGTTTTGGAGACCTTGGCACATAGCGAAGCGGACGGTGAGTCCGACGTGGAGAAGGGGCGATTCCGTGCCCTTGCGCGGCCCGGCAAAAACCGGAGGGAAAAGTAAACATAGGGAGGTGCGGGTCAAAGTCGAAAGGATTTAAGTTTGTTTCCTGTGTGACTGTCGTCCACTTCCCCAAAACTGCCAGTAGTTACAGTTTTTTGTTTGTATTTTTTGGGACAAGTTGGAGCAGCGGTCCAAAGAGAGAACTTGACCAACCTGAGTGTCTACTCTTGATCAGGATTCATGATGGCATCAAGCCTTTGAGGACATTTACATGTCACACAAGGCATAAGAAAGTTTCAGAGAGCTGAATTGAAGAGGCTAGTGGCCCTCCTCAACGCGGCCTGGGGCAGTAGTTTCACTTGCAGAGACCTCTCTTGGAGATTTACATTCTTGATCTGCCGGAGAAGTGGGCGAGTGGGTGGTTGGGTGCACATGGCCTGGGCTGAAGGCACATTGCGTTGGGCCAGTTTGAGTAGGAACGCGGTTGCCACCATCGCTTCAAGATGATTCCTAAAGCGGAAACCGACTCAGCAGGAACAGATGTACTGGTAGGCGTTGCCTGCACGATCACTGTGCCAAATTGCAATCTGAACTGCTTGGAAAAAGCAATACTTAGGTGCACCGAGCAGTGCATTTGTTTTTTGCAGTTCTGCAAACACAGTGGATGTATCATACATTTGTGTAAGGGCTGGGGACTTAGTGCAGCTGACATGGCTTGTTGTGAAGGGATGGTTATCGGGGGAGGTCACGCGGCATGTCTTTGCGGTTTAGATGGTTTGCAGGTTCTTCAACTCTGACAACCGAACCTGGCTGGCATGGATTCAAAGCCAAGAAACAAGATAGCGCAAGTTGTTAGACTCAGGCGAATCCAGGGCTTTGGGATAAGAAATTGACAGGAAGACCTTGAACTTGGAACTTCGCCACACGTCACTCACACAGTCTACCTTCCTTGCATCATCGCACCTGAGGCACTTCACGGGAGATCTTTGGCAGCAGGAGAGTTGGCAATGTTTGCAGCATCGCCAAAAGAATCTTCTTCCCATCTCCAGTAGGTATATAGGTCTTTCAAATTTGGAGCAGACATCACAAACCCGTTCCGTCACCAATGGCACTTAGTGAGCATTTAAAGTGACTCGATACCAACGTAACTTAAATGTCATGTTGCTGGGACAAGGTGTCTCTGTTGTACACACATGTGTAGGCCACCCTTTGATAAAGGTATGAAGTGGCTTCAAGATTTGTGATCATTACAGTTGCATAAGGGGGTTTCATTTATAATGTTCCCAGCCATGGCAAACGATAGGGATCTCACAAAAAGAGCACCTGTAACAAGGTTCCAAAACTTCAAGAAATGATTGGGCCGCACATATTAAATCTTTGATTGTATTTCATCATGTGAAAGTCTCTTATTGGACTTGCCAGGGGAGAACACGAAACCAGCCACCCATTCCGTGCACACACTCTTCAAGACTGGGAATGCAGGCGCCAAGTTTGAGGAGTTCTGAGGTTCCGTTTCGCAGGACTTGAAGATTTCTCTATGACCCCATTATGCTACAAGTCCTTTCTTTGCTATTCGGTTGGAGGCCATCGCTACTAGGTTGGAGACGTCGTTTGTGCAGACCTTTCAAGGTACTGGCATGCGCTGGGGGGGTATGTCTCCATGTGTCTGTCTCCATTCATTGACCGCCATGGAGAGATGCGCACCCCCAACACCAAGAATCCCTGGTGGTTTGGTGCCGAGGAGGTGACCTTTGACCGGGTGACCTTTGCGTATCCCATGCGACCATCCAGGCAGGTCCTTCAGGACCGGCCTGGGCCGGGTGCGGAACATCGGTTGAACGGACCGCCCGCTTCGGGGGCCATGCATTTCGCTCGGTCGATCGGATTCGGATTTGGGAATACAGCACTGAATGCCGTACTTGTTGTTTTTGGATTTAAGAATGGTTTGTCGTGGTGAAGTTGCCCGACATTTTCGAACCAGTTGGCGAATCTGGTTGCCAAACTGCGTTCAACAGAAGAGAGTATAGAGATGTGAGGTGGTGTGTTTCAGCACAGTGGAACCCTGGTCCCATTAAAGAACCAGCACTGCACATGCACTTTTGCGTGCCTGCCAATGCCTGCATCCGCCATTGTCGTCAGGATGTCACCATCCACTGCCGGTCAGGCCCGAGCGCTCAGGGGACAGCACTGGGGGCAACACAGCAATGTATTTCAGAATATTTCAGGCACTGGCGATGGTTTCGGTCTGTGTGAGAGCTGCATCTGGATCTGAAGGTTTCTTCCAAGAAGTTCAGATGCCCTTTGGTTGGCCAAGAACACTTCAGTCAAATGAGTTTTGCATAATATGATTATGGAATCCCAACACTTGGGTCAAATGGCACATATTGACATGGTAAATGGTGCAATTGGATGGACATGGGGTGGCGCCCCACCCTTTTGCACAAGGGGTGGCCCCCTGCCGGCAGAACACCAATCCTTTGTGGCAGCATATCTCCTTCGATTCCTGGGCTTTCCATGTGAGACGAATCTCGAGAGTCTCGGCCAGGTGAGATGACCGCCTTGGTGGGGACCAGTGGCTCGGGCAAGTGACTCGGCCCAGAGTCGTCGTGACTCGACCGGATCGATCCCGACGACCCCGACGAACGAACCCCGACGAAGAACGCTCCTCGCGCTTGGTGTTTTTCTCGCTCTTCGAGGTTTCTGGGTTTCGCACCAAAAGGCCTGGTACCCGCTGAGTCGCCTCGCCGCTGGTACCGTCAGCCTTCTCGGTCTGTGGCGCGCCCAAAGAGATGCGCTTCCAGAGTTCAGAACGCTTGAACATCCTTCTGGAGTTCATTGCTTTCCATCCACGGATTTTTGGTCAAAGGGTATAGGCTGAACTGGCACGACTTGTAGAAGACCCGTGCGAAGGCACCGTTTGGCTGGCCCAAATCCAGGCCTCTCTAAATCCAGGTGGACGCAGGGGACATTTATATATTTATAGAAGGAAACACTTGGAAGGAACAAAGAACCGGGTGGAGACGTGTGAAAACTGGGTGCCATCTACTCAGGAGTTCGCTGATCAACTTGATTCAGGGCTTCTACAGCGTGCAGAAGGGCGAGGCATGGACAATCTGAAATGTGGCATTCTGCTGGGGCTTAAGACAACTGGATTATATCTCTGTATACTATGTAAGATTTATATACTACTGACTAGTAACTTAGGACTTGTCGGACATACACGCCAATTCCAAAAGCCTATGTCATCAGGATTGATCCAACATTGGCATTTCCTCTTAAGGCCTATGTCATCAGGCCACAACCATGATATTCATAGAAATATGTATGAGGTATTCAAGGAAGCAGCGCCCGCAAAAACACATAGTCGCACCCTATGTCACCACTGTGTCACCAGGGTGCCAGGCAGTGGTATCTAGCATTATTTAGCTGTTTTTTTGCTTTTTTTGTCGAGGAGGTGTCCACAGGTCCTATGACACCAGGTTTCCCAACCCAGACATTTTTTTTGCTCGATATGTCAGGGCACATGACTTAGCCTGGGGGTAGCCAGATTGGTATGTCACTTGCATCACGTTGGCCTAAGTCATTAGACAGTAGTATAAGACAAATTCTTTGACAAGTCAACGGCCCTTCAAGTTTTGAGGTGCATTTGAGTTAAAAGAGATGTGTGTGTGTGCGTGTGTTCCAGCCTCGACCCGTTGCCAGCTCGGGCCGAACCTCTTCCAGCATTGATTGTAAGACACGACTTTTACCAGTTCCTCTCACGTTCATTTGCTCTAAAAAGCAGCGATTTTTCCGCCTGTTTGGCGGAGTCGCTTCCTGGGCTTCCCAGGTTCTGGTGGATGGAGTCCCCTTGGAAGACTTGGATCCTGCTTGGTTCAGGGACCAGCTGGGCATCGTTGGCCAGGACAGTCTCTTCACTGGCCTATTCGAATCTGGCTGTGTAGGGCTGTTTGTCGGTCTACGGTCTATGAGTCTATGAGTCTATGAGAAGCTGTTTGGTTCAGCAGATTTTCGGGTGCCCTGCGGGTTAAGTCCGCAACTCCAAAGTTTCAGTTTCAGGGGTTGTTGGCTCAAGCAAACAACATACTGTACGTATAATTCGCAACAAGCGCAGCACTATGACCATTGCAGGTGGGACTAAACGGGTGAGGTTGGGGCAAACGCCATGATTTCCCTCTACTTTAAGCAACCCCGCACCCCCCACAATAGCCATTGGCCAGGAACCCCACTTCTTCCGTGGCACTGTGGGGCAGAACATCGCCTGGGGCACCGAGGCCACCAAGGAGGAGGTCATTGAGGCACGTTTTTTTCTCGTTAGCGACCAAGGAGGTGCTCAATGACAGAAGGACGGTTCACGAAGGGAAACAAAACACCCGAAGGCTTTTGATGGGGTTTTGCCTGATGAGATGTCACAACCTGTTGTGTGGGCTTTTGAGAAGACAGGAGGTGCCAAGACCGACCCTTCGAGAGTTGTGACAATTCCACCGGCACAACACCTCCACCACTTGGCAGGCAACTTGCAACCCAAACTCAATGGACATGGGCATACCGGTGAGTGTTTTTTTGAGCAATTCTGACATGACACTAGCAAAATATGGGAAAGAGCAATCGCGCAAACATATGCAAAAGCATACCATATCCTGCACTGATCCCCTTGGACCCTTGGACCAGACGATCCCTTAGATTATATTTGAATTCACATCCTGGACTTGATTCCCTTAAGAAACCGAAATAGCGAAGGGACACGAGGTTTCGGTCTTTCAGTTTGCATCGCTTGGACTTAGAATGACTTGGATGACTTCCAGGCAGCGAAGATCTCCCAAGCGCACGACTTCATCCAGCGGCTGCCTGGGGGCTATGAGAATCTTGCACTTGGTGGAATGCGCTGCTACTTTGATAATTCTTGCTAGATCCAGATCATTGAATTTATGTAAATGGTTTAATTGTAAGGTTTCTGCAAGTTTATGTACAGTAGGTTTCAAGGCTTTACAGTCCCACTTTTATTCTTTTGTATATTCTTTTGTTTATTCTTCTTCTTCATGACATGTCTGTCTTCGATGCATCAGACATCCGCAATCCGAAATCCCAGGACCCAGATTGGTGATGGGAAGCTACTGAGTGGAGGAGACCGCAACTAAAATATGGGGTGGTGCTGATGGTAGGGGCATAGTCGTGAACCGGGCAGATGCTGAAATGGATCCCTTTTCTAAGGGTGCGGGTGCATGTTCCAGGACAACGTCAGCGCTTGGCGATTGCCCGGGCCATTTTGCGCGACCCACCGATTTTGGTCCTCGATGAGCACCTTGGTTGACGGACGGAACGTGGGAGGTGTTCACCAGGAGCGGGTCAAAGCAGACGGAACGGTTCACCGTGTGGTTTGATTGGGTTTCTGCAAAACGTGGCAACCCTGGAATGCACCAAACCCCTATTCAGCGAGCAGCCAGCCAAGGGCAACCAAAGAAAACTCAAGGGAGCACCAAGAATCACAAAAGCATGCGCCCCATTTGAGCAGCCCTCAAACCGAGTCGAGCAGAGTGACCGTACCCGCCTCGGTCTTCTGAACTTTACAGGAAAGACACTGGCAGATGGCCTTGCACAATGGTCCATCCACAGATGACTGCTTGGGTTGACATGGTACTGTACGGCCCAAACATACATCAGCCATCCTCATAGGATCTTCCCCTGCACACTTCGTATCGAACGCCATCCATGGAGTCATGTCTTGAAGTTCACTACCCATTTGCAACTCATTGTTTTAAGAAGCTACTAGGGGCTCCTGGCATCGCTACTAGGAGCAAGGACGCTACTAGGGGCTCCTGACCGTACTACTAGGAGCATGGACGCTACTAGGAGCTTTTTTACCGTGAGACGAGTCGTTCCAAGGCCCACTAGCGCTTTGGATCCATCCACCAGCAGGCACGCCATCGCGAACCCCGCTGCGCATCCAAGATCCGTTTCTTCTGCTTTGGGATACCAGTGTTGCTCTTGCCAGATCTCAGAAGTCTCGATGTTTTTTCTCCTTTGTGACCCTGACGGTCTGCATGGTTCCCATTGGTTGCTGTTTGAATCACAACAGTTGGGATTCAACATTCACTCTATCTATCCAGTCAATCCACCCAAATGAACTGTTCTTTGCTCAAGGTTGGTCTCCCTGGCCCTGAGGGAGGCTCAGTGGTCCCGAAAACGCCGCCAGCGCCGCACTTTACTGGTGCCTTGGATGTGAATGAGGGGAGTGACCACTAGTGACCGCGAGTGACAGTAGCTTTCCATTGGTCAAGCTGAACCGAAAGAGCAGGAAAGCGCCTGGGTGTTTGAAAGGAAACATTATGTTTTGACCAAATTGAAACAGATAGAATTTGCTGTTGGAACAGGTACCATTCAAACATTTTTGGACCAGAAGGGGCAGAAGGGGTTTATTGATAGAGAACTACCACAGTGTTCAAGATTGCCCATGTTTTTCATTTACAGTAGACATCAGGACATGTGAATCCTTTTCTGGAAGATGCCACAAAATCGGGAAACAAACTGGGACTCTTGGGCAAGCTGACGGGACTTCCTTGAACCTCTTGTTGTTTTGGATAATATCATTGGAATGAGTTGATAGAAGGGCTCGCAAGTTTGATGGAATTCTGTTCAGTGGAACGCCTTCTCAATTCCAGAACCTGAGGTTTTGTTTGGTAGAAAGGACATGCAGGTCAGCTGACCAGAGCATTTTAGTAACTTACAGTAGTATATATATATATAGTAACAGTAGATTATATATATAGACGGCGCAGCCTCCAAGACATGAACTTTATCACCTGTGCCATCTTGTGGCTCTAGAGTCCACGTTGTTTGTTGAGTCCACTTAGAGTCCATCAAAGGCGACGTATGAGAACTTGGCATTTGGGAACCCCGTTCTCGTGCCGAACAGGAACCAGTTGACATGGTTCCAACGGTTCATTTACTGGGTTGAAGAGGTCCAAGCTTGGCCGAGCTGGTTCAACGATCCCAAACGGCATGGCGTGGCCGAGGTCATTGCGCATCGGTTGTCGACCGTGAAGGTCAGGAGGGTGAAGATGATCCGGTCAGTGAGGTCAATTGTAGCAGGCTGAAACCATGGTCCAATATGGTCCAATCAAGGTACACATTTGTCAGCAGGCTAGGCAGAATGTGCTTTCGTGCTTTCGTTTTTTTTCTGCTTGCAGGCTCCGGTTTCCAAGCACCTGCCTGTGGTGTTCAACTCCTTTATGAGACCACAAAACCCCCTCCACGGAGGTGCCATGTTGAACTTCCGATGTAGTTTCCCATTGGTTTACAGATGCTTACAGGTTTGCGTGCCACTTTGATTTGCATTTGGTCTCCCAAGTGGGTGGTTTTTGGTGTGGTATTTGGAAACCAGACGATCGAACAATGGGATGGCCGCCGCGATCCAGGATGCTGAACAGATTGTGGTCCTGGATAAGGGCCGTGTGGTTGAACGAGGCACCCATGAGGAGATCTCCACGTTTGCGGCACGGCGAAGCGGCCACGGTTGCGGGTAGACTCGGTTGACTTCCAAAGCCATGAAGACTGCTTGGGCTTGAATAAGCACCCGGCAGGATGCTTCATGGTGCTTTTGGCAGTTCGTTGGCATCAGTCTTGGGATTCGGCTGAAAGTTCATCGGTTGAAGCGCGCCAGTCTGTGGCTACAAGGAGCTGATGGCACGCGAGGGACCCTTTTGGCGCATGGCCGGGAAACCCACGACAGGACAGCACGGGGAAGGTTGACTAGAAGGTTTGGACTTCTTGAAGACCCCTCTCATGGCCTCTCATGCTCCTTGCACGCTCCTACTAACATGTACTGTACAAACTCTCTCTATCATATCATATCATATCATATCATTATTTACATACAGGTGTAGTTATCCATCATCCATTGTACACAGAGATTCTTTTTAGACAAAGAACATGATTTCGACCAACTTCCACCCTGGGCCCCCGCTGCGCCCAGGTCACGGAGCTCTCTTGATGCGGAGAGGGGATCAACTTCCGGCCAAAGATGCCGAGAGTGCGCTATCGAAGAAGCTGCTCTGAAGAAAAGGTCCACGGTTTATGGGGCAGTAGCCTCCGAACCTCGTTCTCTTTTCAAGAAGATATCCCTCAAAAGGTTTTCTCGGAAGTGGCCTGGAGCACCAGAAACACATCCATCTATGGAAAGACATGTCCTCCCAGTTCAGACATTCCTCAGTTTCTTTGCTTTGCAATCTACGCTTCATCCACGAAACTCGCTTTTGTGCCTGAAGGAGTCCTCATCACCGGCGGGTTGTGGAGCAGCGGGAGAAGGGGGTTCAGGCTGGAACTGAGGAGGTTGAAGAGTGTCTTGCACTAGAATCAATGATTGAAACTGTATAAACCGATTGCTATACAAATACTGTACTAATATTGTTGTTATTGTTAGTGATCTTCTCCGGACCAGGAACGAAGCGAAAAAGCTCGAACCCTTCCTCACAAAGCACCTCCGCTAAGCGTCACTGATGGCGCGCCGCACCCCCTACCCTTTTCCTGAGGGCGCTCGTGCCGGTAAAAGGGCAGCTGGCATTCGACCAACTGGCATGTGAACCTTCATGGAAGTGCATGTCACAACACTCCCCCTTCGTACAGCCGCTTGGCTGTTGCGATCTTCAAAATCGCGAGCTTCTGCGAGCTCGCTTCCAGCTCAACCTGCCCTTTGACTTTCCAGGGTGGCACACTGCGAGCATGGAGTGTACCGCAAGACTTCACCTCGGTCCAGCTTGGAGCATGCCCTGTTGATGTGGGCATAGCCACCCCTGTAGTTCGTCCAGAGGTTCCAATCTCTGGAGATCACCATGTTCTTCTTGCACTCCGGACACCATCTGGAGCGACGGACTTCTCCTGTCCGTGGTGCCCGGATGTACCCACATTCCATTGACCCATGGTGGGCCCTTCCGAACCTCGTCGTGAGGACGACAGGATCTTCTTCATCTCCTGCCGAAGGTGTTGGTCCGGCTGGACTTCTCTTTGGAGCCGCTTGGCCCCTTCCCCCTCCTTGTGCTCTAGCTGGTGTTGTGGCTGCGGATGCCGGATCGGATGATGATGCGGCACCTCTTGACCTTTCTTTTTCTTCCTCCTCCCTTCTCTTTTTCTCTTCTTCTTTCTCCTTCTTTCGCTCCACCTCTTGGCCCCTTGAGCTCACCTGGCCTCGAGGCTGTGGCGATGGAGACGGTCTTCCCCAGATCGTGATCTGAGTCACTGGAGACTGGGTTGAGTGTGTGGAAAGGTGAGCTTGGCCTGGAGACTGAGTTGGAGTGTGAAGCCATTCGGATGCCGACTGTCGTGGCGTCCTTGGAGCAAGAGGCACTGGAGACTGAGTTGGCGAAGGAAGGTGAGCCGGCCTTTTCATTTCTTCTTCTTCATCTTCACTTTCTTCCTTTCTTCTCATCGTTCTTAGCTTCACGGTGCTCCCCTGTGGTGGTCTGGGAAGACTTCGCACTGTCTGCTCGTCATCACTTCGTGATCGGCTTGACTGTGGTACTCCTTCCTTCAGACATAACCACAGGGCGCCCAGGATGGCCACAATGAAGAGCATCAATGCCATCCATTCCCACCAAGTGAGATCTTCATCTTCTTCATCTTCTTGGCCCTTCGCTTTTGTGAGCATAGCGGCCATCGTGATGAGCCTCAAAATCGTGGCGGCCTTTTGACTTCCTTTCTTTCCTTCTCCACCTCCGGCTTGAGTCTCCGGATCCTCCTCTTCTTGTGCTTCCTCCTTCAGCTCCTTTAGCTCCTGACCTTTTTTATCTTTTCTCTTCAGATCTTCTTCTTCTTCCTCTGCAGCCACCCTCAGGAGTGTGCCCATGTTCATCTTCTTCTTGAGCTGCTCCAGTCGCGGTGCTGACAGTGGTTTCGTTCCAGCATCTGCAATCATCTCTTCTCCTGGGATGTGGTTCAGACTCCACCATCCATCCAAGATCACCTGTCTGGCGTATGCCGACTTCATCCTCAGGTGTCTGGTTCTCCAGTTCCCACCCTCTGTGGTGAGGATGATGAGTCCGGACTTGCTGTCAGTCCAGGCCATGCGAGTGGTTGGCCCGAAGATTTCATCGATGATCACACCAATGGACTCACCGGCTGTCATGCCTTCAACAACTTCATTCAACTCTGCTTCTGCTGTGCTGAGGGTGATGGAGCTTTGGCGGCCAGACCTCCAAAGGATTGGAGTGTTTCCGAGCAAGACCATGCTGCATCCATGTGACTCTTCTGAAGTCGGGGCATAGCTGGCGTCCGTGTAGACGTGGATGATGGCCTGTTCATCGGCCTTTTCCTCAAAAACGAGGCCTTCTTCTTTGGTCCTCCACAGGTACCCTTTGACCTGTTGAGCTGCTTCTTGAATGGCCCTTGTGGCCTTGAGGACATTTGATCCCATTCGTGACACGGTGTACATGAGATCTGGTCTTGTCCGTGTCACCGTCCACAACAACTCTCCCACCACCTTTTGTGCTCCTTTGACTTCAGCAGCTGTGGGTGGTGGATCATCTTCTTCCATGACCGACTGGTCCTTCGTGATCGGGATCTTTCTCGGCTTCGGCACCTCAGACTCCTGCTCCAAGAGATCGGTGATGAAAGACTGTTGAGTCACCAGCCAGCGATCCCTTTGGGTCTCTTGATTGACCTGCTTCATGATCTCAATGCCCAGGAATTTCGTCGGCTTCTCACTGATCCTCTCTGGAGTCGAGGTCGTCCACGTTGACCTAATCTTTTCTTCCACTGCCTGGAGAATTCGGCTTGGTGCAGTGATGAAGATGTCATCCACATAGGTCATCAGGAGTCCTTGGAGTTGGCTCCCTTCTTCATCATCATCATCCTTCTGCACTATTCGCCACAGATTCGGCTCGGACTCCATAGCAGTCAGCTGCACTTGACTGATCCTTCCAGCTTCATTGGGGATGTCAATCTCGAGCGATTGCAGCGTCTTGTCCCTGTGCTCTCCCCACAACCGAGGTGAGCGTCTAAAGCCATAAACAGCTTTCTTTGGGAGGTAGTAGGTGTCCTTGTCAAGGAAGCCTCTGTCCACAAAGAAGGATGGTGGACACACCAAAAGCAACTGTTGATCTTCTTTTTGTTCCATCTCGGCATTCAAGAAGGCTGTCTTGACATCCAGGACACTTCCTTCCCATTGATGGACTGAAGCAACCCAAATCATGATGCGAAGGGCAGCAGAGTCAGCCCCACCTGAGAAGTTGTCTTCATTGGGATCTTTGCTTTCGAAGTTGCCGCAGACTACCCAGCGGACCTTCTTCTTTCCTCCCCTCTTCCCAGGTTTTCTCGTGAACACGAGTTTGGATGGGATCAACTCTATTCGAATCCCCCTCTTTTCAGCATCTTCGATGAGCTCCTTCATTTCTTTCTTGGGAATCGGCTGCAAGGCCAGCTTTTCTTCGACGAGTGAGATGACTTCTTCACCTGCTGCTGGCTTCCATGCTTCCCAGTTCTGAGCCACCTCCTTGGCTGACACGATCCTTGTTTGTAGCACCTCTTCTTCTTCCACCTCTGCAGCCACCATAGATCTCCTGAGGCAAGCAATCAACTGAGCATTGATGACCGCCAGTTGAGGTGAATCCTCCATTGACAAGAGGGCTTCTTCTTCTAGGACCTTTCGCATCCTTCTCTTCGCTTCTTCTTCCTTCTCCTCAACCTCCCCCTGTTCCTTCTGGATCTTTTTGACTGCGGTCTTCCCTCGGATCCTCCTCCTGAGAGATAGCCCATCCAAAAGTTCCTTTTCCAGGGCGATCCAATGTCCCTCTGTTGGTGGATCTTCCAACCTCCTCATATAGCATCTTGTGAGCCTTGGTCTTTCATCGTCCCTCACAATCCAGTGTCCGTGGTTCTCAGGGGACGGACAGAGGTACCTCGCCCGTTCACTTGTTGGGCCCAGGTCATCACGCTTCCATCTCCTTCTCCTTACCATAACCTCCGTCAGGAAGGGCGGGAAGTTGGGAACTTGGTAGAGCCTTTTCGCTCTGAGAACCTCGTTGCAGTGCCTTAGAGCCCATGGCCACCACTTCGAAGTTTCTTTGGCCTGGTGTAAGGCCTTCCGCACCATCGACTTCAGTGCTTTTACTGCTGCCTCTGCACGTCCGTTGGACTGGGGTTCGTCCCCTGCAGTTTTGGTTAGGATGATTCCCCGCCGCCTTGTCCAGCCATGGAAATGGCCTGCGTATTCATGGCCTTGATCAGTGTGTATCTGAGCGACGGAGTATCCGTCCATCCTCAATCTCAGCAGCATGTCCATTGTCGTCCTTGTGACTTCTTTGGCCTTCTTTGAATGCATAGGCAATGCTAACCTGAAGGTCTCGATCTTGAAGTCCTTTGGTGGCTTTTCTTCTGCCTTTCCAAGTTCATCATCTCTTTCTTCTTCATCTCGATGAATCTGTTCCAACAGATCTTCACCTGCTTCTTCTTCAGCGTCGGTGAGGCCATGTAGGACTTCATCTCCTTCCTCCACCCCAGCCTTATCTTCTCCTTCTTCATCGTCCTTTGAATCTTCTTCAATTGGCGGCCATTCTTCTTGACCTTCTTCAGACAGCTGTTCCTCCCCCTGTCCCTTGACATCCACCGTACATGGAACCGCCCAAGTGAGTGTCCCTGCTAGGAAGTATCTTGACTGGAATCCTCCTAGATCATAGGCGGGCTTCAACGGGCCAGCCGTGTCGAGGGAGAGAACTCCAGCAAGCTTGTGTTGAACTTGGCGATGGGGTGAACACTGTTGTCTCGCTTCTTGGCAGATTCTGCAGTCTCTCCTGCTTGGTGTATGGCCCAGGGCAATGTGTTCAGACCACGAAAGAACACATGCTTTGGCCTTTTTCTTCATCGCTTGGGTCATCACTGCTTCTGCCAACATAGTCATCATCCCCGGAGGCCACCGTGCCAGTTCCCAGGATCCTCGAACCAGAGCATGGCTGACAGTCTTGGTGGAAAATTCCTCAGGGATCAGCTCAAGGGTTCCAGCGACTGTTGTTGGCTTCTTTGCAGCACCACCGAGCGGCTTCTGGAAGAACGTGACCTCCTTCCACCCAAATTCCTTTTGAAGATCTTTCCATTCAGCAGTGTCCCAGAACGACACCACTTCAGGGTTGTAGTCCTTCGGGCTAGCTGGCTGCTCAATGCCAAAGCCCATGACTTCAGTTTCTTCTCTTGCCTTCTTGAGGGAGCTGTCGAGCATGGCCAGGAAGATCATCCTCCAAAGCAAAACATCATCTTCAAACAGCTTGCGGCGCTCATCACTTGAAGCATCCTTCACCCCAAATTCTTCGCCGCCCCACTTTCGGATGGGTCTTGCAGTGGTCCAATCGACCTGCTTGTGCCTCATGACACTTCGTGTCCTGCAGTTTGGGCCTCCTAGCAAGGCAAGAAGCTTCCCTTCCCACACGGACCTCACTAGTCCCGCATAGGGTCCTCGGTCCCGGAGCATGTCATGGCCTGGGCCTCTTTTGATGTCCACCTCCAGGAGCTCTCGTTCTTCACCTCCTTTCTGCTTCCAGGCTCTTTCAAAGGTGAATCCTTCGTCAGCTCCTGCGTACAAGTGGCACACATAGCCATCTCGTTTCATGGCCTTTCGCTTTCTTCTGTTGGCTGGGAGATCTGACCATTCACCCGGCTTGACCACCAGCGATTCTTTCACTTCCTTGGGGAGTCTGCTCAAGACGGGATGGGCGTTCACATAGTCTTCCATCCACTTGATCTCCCATTCAAAATCATTCTCCTCCTTCAACTTCATTCCTTTCTTCACCTTCTCGAGCTCCTCAATGAGGTCCAGGGCCACTTGTCGTGGCAGCTGAGGGCATCCATCTTGATCTTCAACAGGCAGCTCTCCTCGCAAGGGGTGGACTACCCTGAGTTGACTTCTTGACCAAATCACGGAACATCCCAGCTTTTCAGTCAGGAGCCCCATTGGGATGATCGGCTCGATGTCGGCGTCAGCTGAGACCATGGCTCCCCCTGGAGAGATAGGGAGACTGGTGACTTGTCCATCTGCTAGGGCTACCTGAACCCTCTTGTAACTTTCAACATCTTCACCTTTCTTCACAGGTCGAAGTGGATGAGTGGCTCCAGAGTCAAGAAGACCTTGTCGCTCACCTTTCTTAAGTCGCCTCAGTTTGAAGGTCTTCTGCTTCAAGGCGTTGAGCTGCTGCTGGAGACGTTCCACCACTTCGGATCTTTCTGACGTGTCCCCACCCTTTGATGATGGAGACGTATTGGAGGAACTTGGACTTGGTCCTCCATTCATGCCCTTCAGCATGTCATTGGCTTCCTTCAGCAACTCCTTTATGGATGGCTGCACTTCTTCGCCCTCCTCATCTTCACTCTTGTTCTTTCCGACCTTCTCCTTCTCTGCCTTCGAGATCTTGGGCCGGGGCGAACCTTCTTTGGCTTCCTTTGGCCTTGTGCAGGCTGGCGCGAAATGCTCTGGTGATCCGCAAATCCAGCACCGCTTCTTTTCATCCTTCTGTTCGTGTGAGAACGTGCGCGACTTTTCCCTCCTGCATCCTTGGTCAGAGAGGTAGAACCTGCACTTTGGCTTTTCTTTCTCTTCGCCTTCTTTTCTTGTTCTTCCTTCTCTGGGATCCTTGGGCTGCTCTTCAAACTTCTTCATCTTTGGCGCTTCCCCACTTGAGTCCTTCTTTCGTGCTTGGTGACCCATTTGTTCCAATTCTGCTAACAAATGCTCACTGTACTTGGACACAGACTCGTGGGTTGGAACAGCATCAACCATCAAGGAGCTTCGGACCAGTTGAAGTCGGAAGTTCAGCTCAGGGAACATCGTGATGAGCTTCTTCATGAGGCGTCCAAGACCCCTAGCCAAAATGGTCGGGTCTGGAATTGAAACTCCCACCTCCTCTGCTCTTCGCTTCCACCTCAACCATCTTCGAAGTGTGACGATGCCCTGGCCGACGGTCGAAGCTTCTGCAGGGCTTTCCAAGGCAGCCAAGATTGCTTGTCGTTCGGCCAGTCCTCCTGGCTGATAGGCAATCATGCCCTTCACCAAAATTCCAAAGGCCGTCAAACTCTTCGATGACACAACCTCTTCTCTCAAGGCCTCTGGGACAGCGCTCAGCAGCAATGCAGTTGCTCGCTTCTCCAAGCGGGACCACTTCCTCATCGAAAGCTTGGTGCTTGGCGCGATCTGGTGTGTGAGCCTGTCCAAGGGAGATTTCACAAGGTGCTTCTGGTACCATTGGCGGGCTTCTTCTAAGGTCAAAGTCCACCATTCCTCTGAGCTGGGTGTGAGGTCAGCCATCAGAGGAGCTAAGAGCAAAAGCCAGTCCGAGAAGTCAATCGGAGCTGACTCTCCATTCCACTCTGCCAACTTTGGCAGGTCCACACTGTGTCGCACTGTCTCCGGGTCTTGGTCTTGACCTGTAGAGCCACCTTGCGACATCCGATCTTGAATCTTTTGCATCCCCTCAACAACCTTCAAGATCACATTGAGGGTCTGTTGATGCACTGAATCATCTTCTAGGGAACCTTCTTTCTTTTTCGTTCCCCTTCCTTTTCCCGTGGCCTCCCGGCCTGCTTCTTTGCCTTTGCCATCACCTTCACGAGGTCGATCTTCTGGCACTTCTTCCACTCCTGTCTTTGTTCTTCCGCGGCCTCCAGCATGTTCATCGCATCCGGAGCTGCCATTTGGCGTTGCAAAAACAGGATCATCTTCTTTCGAGGTCGGCTGAACCCATGACAGCCTTCTGACTTCCTGGTGGAGTCTTTGATTCTCCTCCAGAAGGTGGCTGATTCGTCGATCGGCCATGGTCGGACCGCCCACTGGTCCTTTTGGTTTTGCTTGCATCTCAGCCCGCAAAGCATTGTTCTCGCTGAGGAGCTGCTGCATCTGGATCATCATTTCTTCCTTCTCCTGACGCTCGAACTCCATTCGTTCATGGACCCGCAACATCAGGTTTTCTTTTTCTTCATCATCCCTTCTTCCACCCTTTCCTTTCCACACTTCTTGCTCGAGGAAGGCTGGTCTGTCGAGGATGGAGTGCATTGGGGTGTCGTACATTGGTGTACCGACTTTGGCATAAAGCCATGGTGCCTGTTGTTGAACTCGGTGCAAATCATCAAGCTGGGCAGGCGTGAACAACGGTGGTGTGCAAATGGAGTGCTGTTCAGGGACTTCACTTTCTTCGGGGATCCCACCAACACCACCTCCCTTCACACTTCCCTTTCCATCTTCACCCTGCTGGTCCTGGATGGCTTTCGGACCCAACACCTGCGGGGTCCTCATGTGAGCTTCTTCTTCTTTCTTTGGCTTTCCTGGACTCGGAGCTTCAGTCTTTGGCCTCGGGGTCGATGAAGTCGCGGCTGAGACCTTAGAGTGGCTATCCTCAGTTGACGGGACTGTGAGAGTGGGTGACCTTGTCGAGACCAGGTCGGTGGACGTCGCATCCCCACCTGGTGGTCCTTTTCCACCCTGTGGCCCTTCGGCCACCCCGTCCTCGAGAGGTAGCTCACCTCTCTTCTTCCCTTCTTTCTTCATTCTGGCCTCGGCGGCCTTCATCTCCCTCTGACCTTGTGCCAGCTCTTCGGCGGTCGCTTGTCGCCGTCGATGCTGCATCATCAGCGGATGCTAGGCCCGCTTTGGGCTCATAACCTGATCTTCTCCGGACCAGGAACGAAGCGAAAAAGCTCGAACCCTTCCTCACAAAGCACCTCCGCTAAGCGTCACTGATGGCGCGCCGCACCCCCTACCCTTTTCCTGAGGGCGCTCGTGCCGGTAAAAGGGCAGCTGGCATTCGACCAACTGGCATGTGAACCTTCATGGAAGTGCATGCCACAACAGTTAGGAGCAGCCGCCACCCAGAATAGAGTTCTTGTCCATGAACACCCTTGGGTCCGGCACCATTGGGACACCCAGATGTTCACCATTCACATCAGCGCCGGGACCGATGGACGACCGGTGGAGTCGCGGAGTCACAACGCTCGGAGTCCGTCCAGTTGTTCGATTCAAGGATGGAGTTGATTTCGCGGAGGATGAGAATCATCTCGCCAAATTGGGGGTGACAACGAGTTTCTCTCCGCCCGGAACGGAGCAGCCGACTTGCTGACTTGGCAGGCCGAGGATGGTGAACTTCAAAGATTGGAGGCTGGGGACGTGTGGTGGCAGACATGTGCTAGCAAAGGGTGAAAGGAGCTTTGCAAGCCTCATAATCCTGACATGGAGCTATATAGCTTGTCTGGCAGCAAGGTCAAAGCTTGACTAGTTCTGAATTTCTTGGAACAATCAGTTGTTACATGTTGTACTGGGCAAGAAGTTGGCTTCGGCCTAGACCTACACTGAGACTGCGGGTCGCTTCCCTGAGAGGCACCATGAAATTCGAGCTTGCTGTTTGAAACCCCTCCTCCTGTTTAAAGTCAAATTGAACACTTGATTGTACCGCTGTGAGAGGTGCGGCTCCCCCAAATTCCAGCAACTTTGAAGGAGAGCGGTGGTCCACCAGAACGGGTGAGTCCACGTCATCCCAATTGTTTGGTCCCGGCGACCAGAGGCGAAGGCTGATCCAAACCGAAAGTAGGCGACGTCTAAAGCTATCGAACCTCCAAGGACTCACAGGTTTAGCTTGGAGATCGTGTTTTGGCGCCACTGAAACTCCAGAACAGGCGCCAAATGGAACAATGTCCACGGTTTGCGGGTCTCGCCGGCGGTTTGCGCCTCGCACTGCGCAGGCGCAGCTCCAAGCGATGCTCAAGGACTGACATCTCGGCCGCCAAGTTCAAAGGGCCAAGAAATGGGGCCCGAACGTGTGTGTTTAGTGGGGCAAAGTCCAGGAAATGGGAAGAATTGAAGAATTGCGATGAATGATCTTTGGAATGAGCTTGGCTAAGCAAACACAAGGTCACTTCTTCCCTTGTGGGGCCCTATTGATCAGCAAGCGCAAGCAGAAAGCATGATATGCTCGAAAGACCTTGAAAGCACCTCTCTGCATGATGTGCTCCCACCGTTATAGTGAGGGAAGCGAAGGAAATGATCTGCCTAGAATCCTTAGAATGCTTGTTTTTCCCTGCCACTGCCATTTATCATCATTCATCTAGGTTTTGAATGTCCCACGCAACAGGCTAGGTCAGTTATTTGAGGAGCCCAGATCTTACGCTGTGAAGAACTAACTGCATGTCCCATGCAAAACCAAGCTCTCAAGGCTCGAGGGGACTGCACTGTATTTTCTGAGCATTGAGACTATCCCGTGTCCAATCATCTCATCTTGAGAACTGAAAGACGCAGCAGTTGTACAAGGACGATGCCAGTGGCCTTCAGAAAGACTCAGAAGGACACTTTGCAAATATATTTGTTGTTCCGAACCTTTTCCATCAAAACTTTGCCTTGTTGAATCACCGCAGTAGCGGCCGGAACCCCTTGCCACCAGGAGAGGGAAGAGCATCGTGATGCGCTTGAGAAGCTTCAGGAGGTGTGGGTAGACACGTGGTGTCCACAAACGAACACCAGTGGAAAAAAAAACCGTGAGAAAGCTGGCCAAGATCTTCGCGTACAAACAAACGAAAGACGACACATTCCTGTTCCGGTGAAGATTCCTGACATTCCTTGACGGGGCGCAGGTGCAGAAGCAGTTTCTCCAACAACAACAAGAAGTAGAGCATTTGCAGCAGGCAGATGCTTTTGGGCCCACCATTCTCACGATCATGTTTGTCGGAGGCACCAATTTTGCGGTATGACCTGGTTTTGTTGACATTTCGAGGTTTAGAATGACTTTAAGCGCCCATTGTGTCTAGTTGGAATGTAGCCGAAGCTCTTCATGAAGGATCAGGGTGTGATCGGGGCAACAAATGGCTGCAGGCTCAAAAGCAGTTGGAGGAGCAGCAGCGAGAAGTGGAGAGGCTAAAACAGGCGAACATTGATGTCGCCGGTGCGTCTTTCGGAACAAGATTGAAGTTATACCTCAGGAGGAAGAACGTTTTCTCTTCTAACCGGGTCCCCGGAGTCTTATAACATCTATTTGGATCAGCCGCGGTCGAATTAAGTCCCTTTCGCGTGGCCAGTATGGGGTGGTCAATTGTCACCCTCCTTTCAATTAATAACACGACATAACAATCGCTACTAGAAACAAGAAGCTACTAGTAGCAAGGGCATCGCTACTAGTAACAACGGAACAGGTTTTGAGGGACGATTTTATGGAGGAAAGGATTCTCAACCTTCAAGAAACACTTTTGTCCTAGTGGTGTATTGTATGGAGCTGTTGAGGCTGAGGTGGTGGACCCTATGATGCCTTAGGTTGGTTGATCCGACATTGCTTCGTTCATTGGATTCATTGGCCAGCGAGGCTTTGATCAGACATTGAACATATTTTCTTGACTGTTTGAATCGAAGGTGTGATGGCCAAGGCATGGTGGTCGTTTGGTCGTTTCCCGCCGCCCGCCCCATGAAATTTCTTCATTGTTCGGCCTATGCCTATGGCGAGATGGGCCAGCTCGCCGGGCTCGCCTGTGAGGTCGAAAAGCGCTTGGAGGAACGTGAGCAAGAAGTTCAGAAGCTGCAGAAGGCCAGGAACATTGAGCAGAGCAGGGGTGGGTGAGGAGCATGTGATCGGTGAATGCATCATCTGGCGAACCAGCGGTTTGACCTGACACCTTTGTGCCAGCCCGTCGTGGAAGTCAGTATCAGGGGCATAAGCACTCCAACCGCATTTCATCTCCAACGACGCAGGTGCCTTCTTGGTTTGCAAGGGAGATCATTGAATTGATCGGCTCGTATTGATCAGGGTAGATTCCTGTACTTGTAGGCCCTCCCTTGGCCGAGCTTGGCCATTACTTGTTTGGGATCGAATAAACCTGTTTAGATCACATCCCTACACGATGAGAAGTACTTTGGCAGCCGTGAAGGTGGCTCGGGTGCAAGGACCTGACCCCTCGCTGTTTCAGCTAAACTGGTTCCACATGTTTCACCTGGCTTCACCTATTCCACAGAAGCTCAGAAGTCCTTTTTTGTTTCACAGCGTGCTGCGTGCAAGCTGCACTGTCGCAAGGTGCAGAAGCAGTCCCAGGAGCAAAGCGGTGAGCTTGAGCGGCTCAGGGAGGCTGCTGGGATGATGCAAGGAGGAACTGGGGGTGACAGATGGGCCCAGATCGGACTCGCCTGTAATTGGGTTTACAGTCTACAGATGTCTACAGCAAAAACCCTGAAAAATGTCTTGGCACATATATACATCCCATGTTTGTTCGTGATGAGCAGGAATGTTCGATTCATTCTCAGGGGCTGATTACCATGGACCATGGACATCATATTGAGATGCATCAGGGGGGGATCGTAGACCGGCGTGCATCACTAGCTCACAGATCCGATATTCAAAATGCACATACACGATTGCCTTGCATGGCATTCCTTAATTCTTTTGCGCTGAACAAGATGGTGGAGCATGCGGTACTGACCAAAGTGAGTGTTGACTCGTGCTACTGTCCCCGGATGACACAAAGATCGGCATCGGTCTCGTCCATACAGGATTTTGACTTCGAAGAGAAACGACGTGTCACGTGTTCGCACAGCTGTTCAAGCGAATCTGGTCAGGTCCAGAAAGCGTTCAATCAGCAGAATGCAGAGATGGCCCGCCTGCGACAGGACCAGATTCTTCTTCTCGGATCCTTGGAAACTGAAAGGTCGAGACGGCACATAGGAGGCGATTTCGCAGGAGCATGCGGCAGCCACCAGCCAAGTGGAGCGTTTGCAGGCCGGTTTTAATGGGAACGGAAGACGGGAAAGTTGACCGTCTGCACCAACCAAGGTGCATACCACTAGGTTTTCAGGTTTTGATAGGTTTTGCATGATACCGTTGCGCTGAAGTGGAAGACTTCCTCGCAGTACCAAGCCCCGGAGATCACCCCAAAAGTGGGTGATCCACCTGATTCTAGAGAAGCCATTCTGTTCACCCCACAGGCTGAGCACTCACAGATGAAGGAGGAGATCCTCCAGAAGAATGCTGCCATGAAGGATGGGGCTGGGTCAGTGTGTCCTAGATCAGGATGAAACTGTATGGAAACATCAAACATCGTGGGAAAAGTTGTCAGCCAAAACTCCGCACTCCGCGTGTACTATGTAACATTTGAACAGAAGAGTCTGAGAATCTTCACTTATATAGGTGTGTGTATGGTTCAATCATGGAACTGGAGCTGGACATGAGCCAAGGGTTCTCAATCCCTTTTTCGGACAAGGTTTGTTCCGAAGAGACATCAGTCTTTGGTGAAACAGAGGGATGGCCAGGAGATGCAGACCAAGCTGCAGGGGATGGTGCGTGACAGCGAGGACGGAACCGAAACGCCTGTCCAGTCTGAAAGCTGCATAGCAGCTCCAACCTACTAGCGATGGCCTCCAACCTAAGAGCCATGGCCTCCCACCCGCTAGCGATGGTCCCCAGATGTCGCAACGGTCTCCAGATGTCGCAAGGTGCTTTGCAATGGGAAACAATTACATTTTGGCTGTGCTGCCATGTTGGACATCTCGCAGTTCTGTAAACACCAAGATCGGGTTCGGGGTAAGCTTTAACTGCGTATCGACGAACAACTCATGTGGTCATTTGTGTTGACAGAGGAAGCTGGAGCAGAAGCAGTAGTGAAGAG